CGAATTAAAAGAAAATAAAAGAAAAACGAAAATAAAGAAAGAAAAACCTGCCGCTCCCCCTCAAAAAAAAAGAACAAAAGCCTAAACCAAAGAGTGAGTAAATTTTTTATGATTTATATTCATACAAATTATTTTATTAAAATGTATCTTTACTAACTATTATATTATTTAACTTTGTTTAGAGTCAAACAAGAAGAAATTAACAAAACGAAAATTATTTGAGRACATCGGTTCTAGTTCAGATAATGATGTTGATATGATAGAAATAGTTGTTGACAACAGTGATGATAATGTTAATGATGGCGAGGAGGTTTGCCTAATATGCGAAGAGAGTGGAAAAGATGAATTGTGGTACAGGTGCACACAATGCGATTTCTGGGTACATTCAGAATGTARTGGAGCTGATACTGCAGTTGACTATATTTGTGACATTTGCATGAGGATGATCAGAAAAAAAGAAATGGCCAAGAAATAAGCACTTCCTAATTACATATTATTTTTTCAAGTATATTAGGTATTCATATATTATTATTTTTAAATACTAGTAGGTAAAACAAGTTGTTTACCTATAGTTAAAGGATCCTATAATATGAAATTTAAAAGACTAAATTTATTTTGTTAAGAATTGTTATTACTTTATTTTTAAWAATATGAACTGATATGATTAAKAATGGATAATTAATCCTAATTTAATATTGTTATTTTTTCTAAGACGTATTAAAAATTAAATATTAAAGGGTTCTGTATTTTTAAATTTAAAAGACTTTATATTTATTTTGTTATGAATTGTTATTACTTTATTTAAAGAAATATAAACMGATACTATTTGATAGATCCTATTATTAAGGCTAGATAATTAATTTAGTATGTATACATTGTTATTACTTTCTCAATGGTACATAAGAACGATGTGTTACTTAAAAAWACTGATTTGATGTAAAATGTAATGTTTTGATAATAAATGTTRAATTACCTATGTGTTTATATGGGGCTTTTGTGTGACTGGTATTACCCCAGGGTAGGGGGAATACCGGTCATTTGCGATTTTTWAAAAAATAAAAATAAAAAGAAGTTGCACTTAATTTAAAATTTTGAAAATTGTATATGTAGTAGCTAACAACTKTATAGTTCTAATGTAAGCAGTAGAAAAATATTTGGTTTTTTATTACCGGAGATACACGAATTCCCGCTTAGGTGACCGGCATTCCCCCATTCACCCCTACTACAATATTATCAGAGGTTTGTATATAATCTACAATAGGTAACAGTTATCATCAATTATCATTAAATTAAAAAGCCAAAAAATTAAATAATATGATCTATAATAAAAACATGAAATATCATACAAAACTAAACTAATAAAATAAGATACTTAACTATCGAATAAAACGTGTATCAAAATATCTATAGGTACTGGTTAAGGAATGTTGGGCCAGAAATTGTCTCGGTTCATGGGTTGCCACGAAGGACGAACAATAACCTGAAGAGTTTTCATAACGCACTTAAACTGAAATTCTCCGTCAACCATCCAAGTTTATGGATATTTTTAGGTAAATTAAAAAAATACTTCAAATTGTATAGGTGAACATCACACCATAATTTGCTGTCGTTATGTATCTTAATGGTTATTTTAATTGGATTTAGATCATTTGAGTAAAATACACACAAATTACCATATCATTGTCAACCAAATTTCAAATAATTTAACTCCAACAAGACATTTGAGAAACAAATTTTTGGCAAATTCTCGGCGAATCAAAAATGCTTCTGAGCAATACGATTTAGGCCTCATCTCTTTATGGCAATTTTTACAGCGCTGTTCTTATTTAAGTACTGCTTACATAGAGAGACAAAGGCTCTGGGCTCTTCAAAACAATGAAGATGATGAAGAAATCCCTGACGTAGAATTTGATGACGAGCCACCAGTACTAGCGCCAGTAGAAAATTTGCCACCATTGGAAATAGAGGTACCGTTAGAAGTGGCCAATCGTGAACCAGTACCAGCCTCATTGTGTTTAGTGTGTATGACAGCGACGACCCTCAATAGTGAAGAACAATTTATTGTTTTACCGTGTGGGCATGGTTGGCTGTGTGGCATATGTGTTGTTAGTTTAGACGGCCCTAACTGTGTGTGCCCTATATGCCGTAGAACGCATGTGACCTTTCAAAGAATTTACTTTGCTTAATTATTCAATAATCTAATAAAAACATTCAATATCTCATCAACTTATAACTTTTCATTTGTTAGTTTCTGTGGTTAAGTTTAAACTTTTACCTATTTGTTATTTTTATTTATAATTCATCTACTAAACTTACTTATTAGTTATTACCCATTACTTCAGTTTAGTGTAATATTTGTGTAGTCTTGATCTATACAATTATATCAWGATGTGAAATAAATAATGAAGCAAAATAGTTTTACTTATCTATTAATTCTTTATGTATACGATTATTAAATATTAATAAACCATAATAATCTTTGTAAAACAATTCCAAATATATTTGTAGTAGGTTAGTTTATTAGTTGTATGTTGAATTACCAATTAATTTGTAAGTGTTTTTTATCAAATCGAAAATATAGGTACAATAATATACAGTTAAATGAAAAAACTACTTTTTGATTAATTTTTACCCCAATAACCATTGCTTTAGGTGGAGTGTATTTGAAAAATATTTGTAATGATAATATATTATGAGTGTTGAGTTATATTGTATAGGTGAGTTAGTAGAAGAGTTACACTGTAAGGTACAAATACGGTCATGTTTTTTTTTTATTGAAAAAAACTCATATGTAATATTATATTATACTATAATAATTATAGTGTATAAATTACACAATAAGTGTTCGACGCATATAGTATCGATTTATTTTTTTTATGTATTGAATRATAATGATATTAAATAGGTTCACCATGAATGTATTATACTGTTTCATAATTATTTAATATTCTATACACTAAAATTATGTAAGTGATTTTAACTAGGTACAACTAACAAATATGCTTTTGATTGATTAGAACAAATAATTATTCAAATGGTGTACTTATGACTTATGGCCATGGACCTGATTCAGTGGCGTATATGGGATAATTTTTCAGGGGGGGG